ATTAGTACAGTGTTACGTGGTCAAAGCAGTACATCTCCACGCAAGTACGAACCCTGCGGCCAGTGCTACCCCAAGTGAACACTGTAGACCTCTCATCAACATGCAAAAGTCTATTAGGTCCTAAAAGCATCGTTCTCCTTAACATTGCTATGCAGGTCCTAAAGATGAGTCAGATTAATAGTATGGGTAGAAGACTGTGATTCCTCTGAAGTAGAAATAAAAAGATCCTTGAGGTTTCCAGGGAACCCAACCAGAAACTCAACCAGGGACCCCACAGTCAGTGTGCAATCTGTCTTTTAAGCGGTGTGAGTGTTTATGTGTGAAGTAATCACTTTAATTTCAAACTGCATTGCTCTCTATTTCCTGCTCTTTAGCAGGGGATCTTTCTCCTGTTCAGAGGTAACAATATTCTAAGCTAAAAAAGGTATTTCTAAGTCCCTCCTAAAAGTGACAGAGCCAGCGCCCTCCCACAGGGCTGGGCTCCCCTTGCCTACCATTATTCATGGACAGGCAGCTCAGAACCACTTCCATCATCTGCCTCCAGCTGTGTTGGCATAACAGAAAGTCAAATGTGCTGCAACAAGCTCCAACCCTGAATTTATTGTAAAAGCTCCCAATTCTGTTTCATTTGGCCAGTAAACAGTCTCATACTATTAGGATGGTTAATTGTAAATAACAGTCTAGTCTTTTTAAATTCAAATCTACATTTATTTAGAGCCTTTTCATGAGACTAGAATTAAGAAACAAAAAGCATTAGGAATGAATAGAAATGGACCACACTATTCAAACAGAAAAACCTCAAAGGTTAAGCATTAAAGTGTGCCTAAGGAGTCAAAGTACTCTCCACTGTGAAAGCATTTTCTCCTGTGTTATTCTGAAGCTGTGTTACCAGTGTTAACTCCTCTACCATTCCTGAGCTATAGAAATAGTATCAATGCTATTTTGATGATAAAGTCTATCTGCAGAAATATATATGGCTGGTGTTATATAATAATGTTTTAAAATAAATGAAGACATTTGAGAAAATTCGTTAACATTACTTATTATTTATTGTGTACAAGTAGTGGAGCTAAATGCTGTAAGGCAGCAATTTTGGAAATTTTGACCACAAGAAACAACAACAAATATATCATAAGCCTTGCATGGTGGCACACTGAGGTAGGAATAGGAATGTAGCTCAGTGCAAAGGCCCTAAGGTCAATTGCCAGTATCATAAGAAAAAGAAAAATATATTTAATATTGTGACACAGTGGATGCTTACCAATATACTTATATGAACTAAATGACAATTCATGAAATAAAACTTTAATAAATGTAATGCAGTATTCACTGTCCTGTTCTAGCTAGCAACTTATTATGCTCTATTTCATACGAAATTGTTAGCTCACTCAGTGTAAAAATCCGATAATCAGTTGAAATCTGCACTGTAGAAAACAATATTAGAGCTGGAAAAATAAGTCACTCTCCATTTCCTGTCCTTAAAGAATTTATCATCCTACAGCACAGATGAAACAAAAAAGACAGCATGAAGAAGAGTTGGAGTGGAGGGAGAAGGGGATGGGGATAAAAAGGAAGGGAATAGAGGTGAGGAGGCAGAGGGAGAAGTGAAAGGAGCAGGGGAAGGGGAGGCAAGAGAAAAGCTAGGAAGGAGGGAAGGGGAGAGGAAAAGGGAGAGCGTGGGCAGAGGGGAGAAAAGAGAAGAGCAAGAGGAGGAGGGCGAGAAAGAGGAGGAGAGCCGCTGGGGAGTTGTGGGCAGAGGTCACGACAGTAGAATGTTACAGACAATGAAATGGATAAAAGCTGAAAGGACAGGCCAATCCCAGGAAGGCAAAAGGAAGTTTTAAGAGAGAAATAATGTCCATGATCGAAGTAGAAAACAGGCAGTATTTTGAGAAGATATACAGATGGGTACAAATCATATTCCAGATGGAGTTCACAGCATGGACCAAGGCATACAGATGAACAGGAAAGTGGGGAGTCACTGGATTTCAGAAACAGCAATCCATCCATTTCGGCTAGAGAATGGTATATACACCAAAGTAATAGATAAGATTTCTGCAAGATAAAAGAGAGCTTGGGCATTAAAGCAGGTGCTGTATTAAGATTCAGTGGACTTTAAGGTCAAATACAAAGCTACTCATCCACTTGTGGATGTCCATGCATTCATTCATCCATTCACTCATTCAACAAGAGTTAATTAAGATGCAAAGCACTTTACAAAATGCTTTGATAAAATGAGTAGTAAATGATCTTTACCATGTAGGAAACGAAAGTACTCTATGAGTATATGGGAATAGAATATACCTCCTCCAAATATGCCTCCTTGGCATAAGGTTTATTTTGATCTGACTATATTGAGAAACTATTGACATCAGAAAAGTTCTGGAAATAAGTGGAAGTGACTCCTTTGAAAGAAAAACTTACATGTATAAGGAAATCTCTATTTGTAAAAATGTCTCGCTCTCTGTATCAAGAAGGAAGTCAAATCCCTAAGACTTATCACTGGTGAAAGTATTACCTTCCAGCTGCTTGTCCTTCAAGGACCTGGTCTTGACCACCACAAACCTATACTATGGTCTTATATGCTCTTCCGTAAGTGAATGATTGTGTTTAAGCCTATTCAATGGTCACTCTTCAAGGTTTACTAAGTCCTTGGTGTCTCACAAGCATACACAAGGATATAGTTAATGAACTTCTGTTTTTCTCTTGTTAATCTATTTTATGTTACAGGGTTTGGTCCCAAATAGCAACTATGAAGGGCAGAGAGAATTATTATTTTCTTTTCCAAAAGTGCTGTGTTCTTCTAAGAGACATAAATCTATTAAATGATTAACAATAACGGGAGGAAGTCCTCTAAAAAATAATCTGGCAGCCTCTTGGAAAACTTCAAGCTATACATTACTAGCATCAAGGAAACTAATTATGGGATGTAAAAGATTAAATGTCAAATAAGTTCAGAGGTAAAATATGTTTGCTTCTGTAGGTTTGCACATTTTAGCTGTAATGGTCAGACTTCCGTTGTCCTCCTTTACTAAGTAATTTACCTAAAATTTGGCAGGGTCTCATATTCAAGGTCAGCTCAGTATTGCTCCATCTTGAGGTTTTTATATAACTACCTGTCCATCCTCCGCTGTTCATTTATTTATGTATATCTCTTTTGTCTGACACATCTCATTTTAGTATTATAGCATCGCTTTTTTGGCTAGTAAAAAGTTCAATCTTGGCTGCAGAGAACATATTCTTCCTCATCTATTATGTTCTATGTTTCACTATTTCTTTCATGGTGGATGTTTATTGACATAAAAGCTAGGTTATGAAATCATTAAGCAAGTTTCTAATCATTCACTTCACCACATATAAGGCTCATGCTATTCAGTAAGCTTTCTGTTGTTTCTCAGTGCTGTAGATATGACAGTGACATGTGTCCCTGGAGTATAGGCAAACACAACCTTATTTTTTAGCTGCCTCAGTTTATGTTAGTGGTGATTACTATCTATTTTTTTTTCTCACCTCTATTGTATGATTTTTCTCTTTCATTTTAAAACAAGTGCCTTTATCCATATTTACTTGGGATATCCATACTGGATCACAAAGGGTGCCAATTGGTATCAGAACAACCTCACAGATTTGTCTAATAATCCCTTTTAAGTAATCTGGCCCATTGTTAATGGCTTTTTTTAAGCCAGTCATACACTCAGAATCAAAATTAGCATCTAAATGAGGATGTTTTAAAACGCATGCCTAAGGGTTGAGGGTTTCACCTTTTTTTATAGTTTGCCCTGTTAAATTATGTAAAATAGAAATGGTATTTTAGTATTTAATGAGCTAATGCAGAACCTATTGAGACTGTCTTCCATCCCCCATTTTCTCCTTATGTATCCTACAAAATGTATTTTAAGCTATGAGAAAAGGTTGCGACTTTTCAAGCATGTGTCAGAATGCTGAAAACCAATGACTACTCCATTTCAAAAGTAAGGTACTATATAATAAATGATCAATGTTGGAAATCTAGATTCATCAGTTTTTATTTGATGCAGTTGGGCACAGTGAAGTAAATTTAGCATTGATTTTTCTAGAAAATTATGATTTAAATAATGTTACAATACCATTCCAGTTAAAAAGGAATATTTCATGAGTTAAATCAAGAAATCAGGATAAGGAGAAGGAAAAGGAAATATCCATTAGAAGTATACATATACAAAAAGAAAATTATTACTACAAGAAATAAATGGATAATATATAATATTTAGAGATGAGTATATTTTAGCTTGATATCACAAATATTTGCAGAAATTAGATATATAAGTTTATAGTCTGGTCCAATAAATGAAGGAGGAGTTCCATCATTTTAGGTCATTTATAAATACATGAAACCAGCATGGGCATGGTGGCATATACCTGTAATCTCAGCACTTGGGAGGCTGAGGCAGGAGAACTGCTGTGAGTTCCAAGACAGCCTGAGATACAAAGTAGGACCCTGACTCAAAACAATAATAAAAATAACAACCAAAAAACCCTACAAATAGATAAGGCCAAAAACAGTAAATATAGACTATGGTATAGAAAAAAGAAAAAGAATAAAATGACCTGATGACTAGCTCTCTCTGTAATCTCAAAGATTCTATTTCATAATATAAGGATAAAATTAGAATTTCAATGTGGGATTTGATGTTGAAGATGTCAATGATGAATTTCTATTTAAATAGTAAATCTATCTTGAGAGGAACATTCTACAAAAAGTGTACATGTATCAGAATAAGAGATTTGCAAGCTATAACCATCGAAAACATGAAATTTCAAAGGTGATTATTTTCTTCTATTTTTCCTTGGTTTCTTGGGCCATATCATCCACTCCTTCAGCTTCCTAAAAATTCTCTACATTCCTAATTTTAACTAACTTCTTATTTATTTTACAGACAGACCACACTTTTCATGTAAGTACTTACTAAGAAACTGAAGCACATGAACTGTCTTCCCAAATAGAATGACACTTCACTTCCTTCTGACAGAAATTTTTATTCAAAATATTTCTCATTTGAAAGTATTTTCAATATATAATCAAACAATTTTTTGAAAAAAATTAACTAAATATGCAAAGTAAAAATTAAGAATGTTTTCTTTGTGTCCCTAATAGCTTCACAGAGACAGCTGCTGACAATATTTTATTTGTTACTCTTTGGCTTTGCAAATACTCCTAATATATACCTATAAATGTATATGCTATTTTCTTTACCATAGCATTAATTAGTTCTCTATTGGAAGATATTTTAGTTGGTTCCTATGTGACATTAGTCATGTTATTTCGTGTGGTATTATAAGCATCAATTTTCATTTAAGTATAAGTTGAGTTAAATATAAATTATTTGCTGAGCTACATCTTTTAATATCAGTATCCAAAAGTTTGAACCAGTGTCTCAAACATATGTAAAATTTATATGTTCTCCAAAAGAGAATCAAAGTTATCAGTCTTAAAGTTTTACAATCTAATATTTTAAGATTATTTATTTTTGTGTTACTTTGTGATTTTCTATTATGTATTTATTTTCTTCATGTTAATTGCTTACAAGTCTTTTTCTTTGAACAAGCTTACCTAGAAACAGACCCATCTAATTGTCAGTTTCTCATGTTTGAGAACGTTTGTATAATATGTATACAGGCCATGTGTGTGGCAAACACTTTCTGAAATGTTTTCTTTTTTATTTTATTATTTATAGTTTTCATATACACAACTTTATTAGTCTTCTTTGCATTTGTGAGTTTTAATTTTGTGTGTCACTGAAAGAATGCGTGGATATTATTTTGATTTGCAAAATAATCAGTCCTTCCTCATTGCCACCATAGTTTGATTTTCCTAAAGAAGTAACAGACTCTACTGTAACTTTGTTTCCATGGCTGAATGTGAATTCTAAGAGGACAATGATTGTGTCATCTTTATTTTTGCAATCTGGCTACCAAAAAGGACAAAATATATGGCACATAAATAGTAACTCATATGGGAGGAAGTAAATGAATGTACAGAAGTTAATGACTGAATAAAAAGATCTGAAATTTAGTACCAGCCATAGTCAATTTGAAATGAATTTACACTTATTATATAAACATTTCACTTTCAAAATCATAAAAGTTTTCATTCCTAAAATTTACTATTATTTAAATAATTATTATGCTTTTGCCACATGGTCTCTCTATGTAGTTAAGGGTGACCTTGAACTTGTTATGTTTTTCCACTCAATCTTTTCTACATCTACAATTTAAATTTATTATTGCTTGTTTCATTTTACTATAGTTATTTTATCTCATTACTAGCCACGTAACCATGTACTCCACATCTATTTATTTTAGGAAATACAGCATTTTACTAGTCAAAATGCTTTGCTGGCAAAGGACAGAACTTGAAGCACGTTTTTAAATGGTGAATATGATGTCTTGAAAAATGTGTTCCATTCAAAGGCTTTAAAAGCTGGGACACACACTAAGGAGTAATGAAATCCAAAGTGTGTGAATTTTGTTGTAAAAAAGAGAGGGAAAAAAAAACAAAAAGAAAAAGAGCTCTAACGGATATAACAGCAAGGGTGTTTAGGGGTGTTAAATAGCTGACTGTATCAATGTTTTTGGATCATTGAACACAGCTGTTTGCAGTCTACCTGTTTGAATGTCCACCTTGTATTCTTTGATACTGTGATTTGAGGAACTATTTTCAAGATGATAATATGTAATATACTAACAGGTGATTTCTTACTGTTATGTTTTTTTGTTTGTTTGTTTTGTTTTTTTTTTTGTTTTGTTTTGTTTTTTTGTAGTTCTGTATTACGTGTACCCTTACACCGCTTTGGTTTGTTTTGTGTTTTTCTCTTTTTCCTCTTAAATTAAAAAAAAAAAAAAAAAAAAAAAAAAAAGCTGGGACACAGCTTTCATAGGAACAAAACCCAAGAACCCAGAGCTGTTCTGACTGCAGGTTCCAACCCAGTCCACTTCCATCGCTGTCAGTTCTCTCTCCCACTGGAAGCACGGCTGTCCACAGATTTTAGGTCCTCTATCCTCAAAGTTTGTCAGAGAAATTAGTATTTTTCCTTCCAGTTCTGCATAAAAACACAAAACAAAAAAAAAAAAATTGAGAGAGGACGAGAGAGAGAGAGAGCTAGTGAGAGTCAGACAGCAAAAGAGGAGCAAGAGAGGATGCTTATTATCCAGGTATAAGTCAGACGTGTCACTAGGGCGGTAAGACACAATGACTGATGAAAAGGGGCCCTATGATTATCCAGGTGTAGAATTCTGTTATAAAAAATAGTAAAGGAAAATAGTAAATCTCTCACCAATCATTACCAGCTCTGAACTTGTGTCAGACACACCTCAGTCTTAAAATGCTTTGTGACTTAACATCTCTGAGCTTCTGGGTCTTCGTCTATAAATGATGATATTAGTACATGTCTCAAAAATGCTATAAAATTCCAATGACGTAGTTGAACTACATAGATTACTGTTAATCAATCTTAGCTATCATCTTCCTCAATTTTTCATTATTGTCATTACTAATAATCTGAAAGAACTTGCAGAAGTCAAAGTATGTTTTTAAAAAGCTAATTGAGAAAACTAAACTGACGGGATTCGTAGACAGTTTTAGGCATAAAACTATATTATAAAATATAAATACTTCCAATACTATACTAATAGACATAGTTATACATTATTAGCCCTTTAGCACATGATAATGATCTTATATGCATCTCTTTTAGTCTATTAACTAATATATAAAGTTCCAATATTACAAATAAAGAATCTTAAGATCAGGAAAATGAATGTTATTAGGGTTACTTACAAAATTAAGTGAAAACAAGCATGCAGAGCATAGCTTTATTTAGTATCATTATTAAATGTAAATTTTCAGAAAAATTGTGCCTTAAAATAAATGTACTTTCAGATACAAATGAGTCATAGAACTTTACTGAGACATTATCTGCACATTTATCACATTGAAATAGTAGAAACTATACTTGGAGAAGTAAGTGAAGTCCTGAGTACTGGGCATAGTCTTACCTGATTCTACCTGAGAAGTTGGGCCTGGGTGGTTTACTCTTGGATTTCTGTGTCAGAGATTATACCTGACAGGAAATCAATCCAAACAAGTAGCTTGACACATGGGCTCAGAGAACTACACAGGCAATACACAAACTGAAATCTAAGGAAACACAGAGGGAAGCTAGTGTGCAAAAGTCAGAAATAAGAGTTTTAGAATTCCTGAGTTAGTGAGAAACATTATGACCCATGAATATAGTAAAGCTGGAGGCAAAGAGACATGCAGACAAGCTGAAGTAAGTATCCACTCACCCACCTCCTTCACAACTAACAAGGGGGGGGGGACAACTGCTTTGAATATATGATCAGAAATACATTAAACTGACTGTATATTTTGAAACTCAACTTCTCTATGACTTCTGCCTATAAGGAAAGTTGGTTTCCTCTCCTTTATTTCCTTAGTAGTCCTTAAAAATCCCTTTATCTGATATAAACTAAATGCATTATTGTGAACTGAAATCAGAAATTCTTTTTTTTTTTTTTTAAATCCGTACCGGGGATCGAACTCACGTCAAACTCTCACGTCTGTGCGCTTGCAAGGCAGGCACTTATGCCACTGAGCTAAATCACCAGCCCCTAAAATCAGAAATTCCAAGCAGCACAATCACAAGTGAAAATAAAATTAAACACAAAATGCTTTTAAAATGCTAAAAATTACGTAAAACTAGGTAACTATAATGAAAGATATAACTATACAACTAATGGAGTAAAACTTCAAAAATGATAATATTTATTTTAGAATAAATAAAAATAACCTAATTTTATTCTCTTTATACTAGAAAAAGATAAATATGAAATGTCTTACAAAGGCATTTTTGAAGTCCTGATTTATATTAAAACTCTAATAAAGACAACTACAAAATATATTCCCAAAAAAGAAATAAAGGAATTATCCAGAACAGTTTTCCATTAAGCTGTTTCTCCACAGTGTTCCCTGGAAGCTCCTTTCTTGGAATATTTTAAACTGCTCCATACAAATCATTAAAGGATGCTGCAGGGAACTTGCCAGGACTACCCTGAAGATGGGGAAGCTAAATGTAAGTCCTTTCATCTTTATTTAGGCTCTGCTGTAACATATTTCCTTTCTGAGAAAGAATTTATCTCTTTCCAACAACATGCTGGGGAAAATGGCAATACCAAACGATATCATAATGCAATAATCTATGTAATTAAATTATTTCATGGATCAATAGGAATGTGCAAATTGTGAAAAACTGTGAAATGTAATAATGTGTCTGACATTATAATGTTAGATGGCTTATTTATTCTTCAAGGGCTTTCTATATTGATGTTCATTTGATTTTCCTGAACAAAGAAATGTTTCTTGGTCTCCTTTTGTTCTTCCTGAGACAAATGTATGTAGAGAGCATATGCTGGGTATTGTGTTAATATGCGGGTAAGGAGAAAAACACGGTCTCTACCTTTAAGGATTCTACCTTCTAATACTGACAAGGGGCAGCCTGGCATAAAGGATCTGACTTCAGGCACACAGGCCAGGTTCAAATTCCATCTCTCTCTTTGCCAGTTGGGTCTCTGTTTTGGGTGTTTTGTGTTTGTTTGTTCTTTTTAAATGCAAAACTACAGTGATTGCAGTGAGGATAGGCAGATAATGTACACAGTGCCTAACAAAATACCATGTTCAGTCAGTCAGTGTGACTTTCCTTCCTTCTTAGAGGAGCAGGAAAACTATTATCAGGGTAATATTTGCTCAGTATATAGGCCAAGTACATAGTAAAGAAGGTGGGAGCTTTACTATATATTTTTAATACAGTAGTTGTCAACTAGAGGAATTAGAAACCAAAAACAACTGCGAAGCCTTTTGAACTCTCCCATTCACCCTTTACTTATCAGTCCAACATCCCTTCCCTTTACACACACACATACACAATTTTTTAATATATTGTAAGTGCCTGGAAAGTGGGGCAAATGAGGAAAAAAATGCTGAGTAAATGGAAACAGCTTTTCTATATCTAGTGAATATCTTTTCAAGTCTTGTTGCCTTACTAAGCACAAAATTTGAACTCAGAGAAACCTTAAGTTCCAATTCTGTCACTACTTTTGATCAAGTCATTCAACTGTTTTATATTCTTAGTAACAAGCATTGTAAAAGATAGCAAGCTCTGTATAAAGTACCCAGAACATATTTCCTGGTTTATTACATAAACTGTGAAATTAGTAAATTCTTTTCTGAAATTCTCTAATATACAGTACTACTGTAAAAATGTTTAAATTTCTGTAGAACACTTCAATGTTGCAGCAAATATTCAGGGCTGGAGGCAGCCAAGAAAGACAGACGGATCTAACTTAGAATGTGCTTGGTAGCAAGGTCAGACTAGATTTGAGAACGGTGGGTGATGAAAGGCGGCTGGTGCTGACCTCTCCTGAGGCTAGGGTGGCAGAGGCTGCAGCCAGCTGAGCATGGGCGCGACGCTGCTGAGCTTTAGCTTAGTTCATGTGTCAGTCAGCAGTGCAGGTTTAAAGTCAGGAAATGGTAGGGTCAGAACTTTGCTCTTGAAGGAAAACTTTGGCATTTTCGGGAAGGACGGGAAGGCACAGTGAGACTGGACTAATTGCTTACCACGCAGGATCCTAAACTCTGCCAGCGGCACTAATGGAGGGGACCGGTCAGTAAGGAATCAGGAGAAACAGCAATGGGTCTTGACGGGTGCAGTAAGGAAAGGAAAGGAGAATGTTACAGAATAAGTGAAAAGGTTATAACTATGGGAATAATTATTTCATTTACAAAAGTATATATGTCAACAAAAGAAGTTGTTTTGGAAAGGCAGAATGTTTATTTAACAAAAATATTGAATATTTTAATTCAGTCTTGAACTTGTGTCTCAGATATTGTATGATGAAAATAATTCAAAAACAGAGGCCCAGTATTTTTTTTTATAACTAATTCAATTAAAACAAAAACCTCACAGGGAGCATTAAGGACAGGGCATCAGGGAATATTCAAATTTCAGGTTCAAAAAGAAAACATACACTTGTCTACTTTACTAAAATAAAATTTTTCTAGTGCCATCAGTTAAGAATACACTGGATTTTATTTAAGTGTTGATTTATGACATTGCATTTCTATTAAAGAAAATAAAATACTATAACTTTTATTTTCATAAAACTTTTTATTAAACGCCTAGAATTATCATTCAAAAGCTTTCTTTATTTCACATAGAGACAAGTCCACAAGTGGTCCTGAATAAGCTTTCAGCTTGCAGAACTCCTATGTTTATTTTCTTTCTACTTTTCCTTCATTTACCAGCTGCATGGGTTACTATAAGAAACACAAATACAATAAATTCAGGTTACATTGGAGAAAGAAAATCATTTGCATAATCTACCATAAACAGATTTTCCTCTAACCTGTAGAATGTTGACTTCCACTCCAGAAGGCTAACTGCCACATGTAGAAGCACATGGAATAATAGTATTCCTGTCATTTAAATGTTATGATAATAGTACTTTTCAGTATGTTGAAAAATACAGCTGTGCCTGCTGATGACTTAATTAATGTTTTAAGATATTTTGTGTCAGTAATAAACTGAAAATGGCATTAAGGGGACTTTTAGGAAGATGGTTAGGACAAAGGAGGCCCATATATATTTTAACTTGTGAATTAATTGAGCATCTACCTGATAAGAATTATCATGATCATGGTGAGCAAAGTTTTAGTCCTCATCAAACACTTAAAATGGTAGAAAGAATCCGTTACAGTGAGGGACACGTATACTATTGAAGGGAAAAGTGAAAGGAGATGCAGGGCACAGAGCAGGCTTTTTCTTATCCCCCAAATTCCCTTCCTTCCTTGACCCTATTTTCTTGGACTGCTTGTTAATTCCTGTCTGCCCTTAAAGACTCAGCTTAAAGCATCTTTACTGTCCCTGCTGAAGCTCTTCTTAACCTCTTTCATTTTCCCAAGTAATACTGGAATAATTCCAATCATTGTTTTCTGTGTCGTTTTGCAGGTAATTTTTCTGCCCCACCTCACACATGGTGAGAGTAC